ACAGTCAAAGCAGAAGGCAACTTGTCCATGGCAGTGCTTTCCGAGCGAGCGAGCGCGAATTGCATTGGCCCTCTCCCGATGGCCTGTTTACTATTTTATTAGATTTAATTAATTTTGTTTAATTAATTAATTTGGTCTGTAATATTTAACTGCTTTGTAGGTTAATTAATTTGTATATTCTTTTTCTGTCCGCTCCGAGCAGGGCAAACGTTGTAATAAGTTGGGTGCGTCTGTGTGCATGTCTTCCAACCCCACTTCTTTCTCCCTTTTACTACTTGCTTTTGATTGGTTAGTATTAGACATGTTTACTTAGCATACCTTATAGCTATGCCATGCGTTGCATATTTCATTAGTCTTGGCATTGCACCAAACTCCCCGGCGCATCATGCTAAACTCAATAAAGTATTTCAAAATTGCGTCTAATTTAGCGAGGAACTCATATGTCATCCTTAGATTAGCCGAGCCTATTCTAGATTGCCTTCTGTATGCGTTGCATTAGCCACTTAACATGGACTTGGATCATGCATTGATTGCTAACATGTTCTTGTCTTGGCTCGGAGTACCTTGTAAGTATTTTTATGCTTTAGCATCTCGCATGAGTGTGAATGTCAACATGACAGCATGCTTACCATGTGGCTAGATGCTTATGTGATATAAACTGCTTGAATGCCTGTGGGTGAAGGTTGGATTGTTTGAGTTGGAACAACTCGTTGAAATCCGTGTTTTAGCCTACTCGCGAGTAGTAAATTTCAAAACATTTTCCAAACAAACGGATTTGTGATGCTTTATTCCAAATTAGGCGATCTAGTCTATACTTGTTTTGCTGTGTGTATCACATAGTAATTCTAGCTAATTAAACCGGAATAAGAACACATAACGTTTTCAAAATTAGATATCACGGTTAGTAGAGGCCGATCTTTGATCGGGTGAGAGGGGATGCTCATAGCTGACCTTCCCCAATCGTATCCAAGTTCCCGAGTTGAGGCAACTTTGGTGATGACGGACACGTGGCCTTTGGCACCGAGTCAGGGTTTCCTAAATTTCCCAAAATATAACATTTAGGTGGCGACTCTGTATCTGGCAAAGCAGTCCATGTTTGGCACTTCTTTTCAAAAATCTGTTTCCCAGGTTTAGATTAAAAACCGTGACAGTTTGAGAGTCCTGAACTGTAGTGAGCCCAATATGAACAGAATGGGACTCATCCTCCTGGGGCGTTCGGGGACGTCTACACTAGTATTTATTCTCACTTTTCATTTCTGCTATGTTCTCAAGGACCACTGCACGCTTTACTTTCTTAGCATATAAATGTTGAGTTGATTAGTTTACAATCTTTGGTTCCTAAAATCCCATATGAAACATATAAGTGAGTCAGCTCTAAGTTGCCCTAAAATGACCCCTTGTTAGTATCTAATTCTATATACTAATTCTCATTTATAGCAACGTTACAGAGCTTGAAAAATTTATGCAAAAATTAAATGAATTGTGAATGTTAATCATATTAAGGGTTGTTTTGAAAAGTTGATATTTGATTTTTTATTAAAAAAACGTATGAAAACGGAAAGAAAAGAGTTGACTGGTTTGTCTATAGGTTTGTGAAGATCATCATTGAGTGTATGAACTGGTTGTTTGTCTTTGCTCTTTATCGCTGTTGTTGGTTGATTATTAAATCGCAGACCTGATTGAACAAAAAGGGCAAGACTTGGTGTATATTACATATATGTATAATATATATAATAAAATCAATTTGAATGCTTGGAAGCTTGGAAGCTATCTCCTATGATCAAGCAATCCTTATTCTCACATTCACCATATATTTTTTCTACAAAAATATAATATACAAAAGCCACTGTCAATTAGGACAGTGAAAAGAACAAAAATTAAACAATGGTGAATGTCGCCTCCATCATTTTGATGAGACCGTAAGATGTGCATAGGGGAGGAAAAACACCATACGGGTCATTTTCCATACTGTTATTAATTTATGGGTCATTTAGTTTCCATTCTCTCTCATCTTTTGTTGTTTTCTTCTTTATCCCATCCGAGCTCACTCCGGTAAGTTATTTATCTCAGATTTTGTTGTTTCACTCCTTTCCTTTGTCCCCTCTCAGCTTTTGTTGTTTCAACTTTTAATGTTATGGTCTGGTGTGTTATTGTTATTGTTCAGTATTTTTTTCTTCAGTTCTTCAGTTCTTTGTGGGTTCTATACATAATATTTTTAGGCTTTGAGAGCATCCCCTCCCATGAAATTTATATTTTAAAGTTTCCTTTTCCTTCCCCTTTCTGCCTGTGTTACATTAATTTTGTTTCCTAGCTCTTTGATTTACACATTATGATGAGAAGGTTGACCAATTGACTAAATGAAGAATTATGTTTGAAATCAAAATTTCATTAATTTTTTAGATAACTAAATGAAGAATTATGTTCTTCCTTGCTGATAGAAAATTTATTGACTGGAATACAGGGAGAATTTCCCTTGCTGCATTTCAAACGACGCTGCTCACCTTCGGCTCCCTTCGAACTTGCACTCGCAAGGTAAGATTTCGAAGTCACTCCCTTTCTCTGCTCTTCATCACTGTGTTGAGTTGTTTGAATTTGTTGTTTGAATTCTGTCTGAAGTGAGTCCTTGATATTGGTTTGGAATTTTAGCAAAAATCTGATTGTAATGGCGTTTATTAAATTTTTGGTTATATAAACTGTTATTAAGGCCCTCTCTTCTGTTATTAAGTCCCTTTCTCCCTTTGAGTAATTGATGATTTTCTTTGTTCAATCTCATGATTTTGCCATTTGAAGTGTTGGTATAGGGTTCACTGACTTCTTAGTTGAATTTTCTTTGTTCAATGCTTCGTTTCTACAAATTTTGTTTGTTCAATCTCACGATTTTTCTTTGTTCAATACTCTTTTTCTATAAATGTTCTGAATTTTCTATAAATTGGTGTACTCACTCCCTACTCTTTTAAAAGAAAAAACAAAAAAACAAAAAACAAAAAACAAAAAATTCTTGGACCATAATGCATGTTTGTTTCATGTCTCAACTATTATGTTATCCATGTCTTTTCACTGCCAATGCACCGCAACAGCTTTGTCCGCTATAGCTTTTAGGTTGAATTTCCCTGCAATTCAAACCCCAAAATAGAGGAATTTTACATTGAGAATGCTTTGTTGAATAGTGGTTTGTTGGTGTTTAGCCATTTAAATTCGGTCTCTCTGTTTCTGGTCCACTCTATATATATATATATATATATATGCATATGTTTTACCTAACACAGGCCCTCCATCATTGCGATCCTTAATTAGAAATGAAAAACAGATAGCAATGGGGGTGAAGAAAAGTGCTAATATGTTGGCTTATACTGCCATGGCCACGACATGTTCGATAGTTTGCCTATGAGAGACCTACCAGAATGATCAAACACTGTTCTGATCTGAGTTGTTGCTTCTCAATTGTCAAAATAGCACACACACTTGATCTAAAATACATGGCCAGATTTACATTCCAGAGATACACATATATGTGCATATGCATGTATGTGTGCTTACATAATTAGGAAGAAGCTCGGGCATGGTCATTCCAAATTGCGTAGAACACCATTGGGAGATTGATTTCAAGTCACTGTGTGATTTGCAGGCCCATATACAGTTCCTAGACATGCTTGCCCCAAAGCATTTTCAGCTATTTAGTGGGTATTTTGATTGTTGTGAAATAGAAGATTGGATTCTATCTTTCAGATTTTAAATATGAGTTTAATTTTGTACAATAAGCACCAGAATCAAGGGCTTTAGAATTGAGTTAGTGTCGTTTGGTTTTATCAATTGATACTCATAATACTAATACAATTTGTTATTGCTTTGTATCTTGAAATAGTGACTTAATTAATGCTTCATATCACTACTACTAATTAACAGTTTAATTGTGTCCTACCTTTTCCACTCCATTGAGTGTTATTCTATGCTTATTTTCTTTTGTGTAGAACACCATTGGTTACCAAGATGAGTTCAATTTGTTGTCAAATTGGAGTTGGTTTGTTGATTTATTGTAACAAAAGCGCACCATTGAGTGTTTATGTTGGTTGTTGATTTAGATTTTGTTTTTTGTATTTTGTTTTTCCCTATTAGTTAGTGTCGTTTGGTTTTGATCCTAATATTATTTATACCTTGGCTTTAGGCACGGACATATGCTAGTATTATATATTACATATTAATTAATTATTTTTTCTATCACAACTATTGATTTATTGAAAATTGAAATATTACACCCTTAAATTAGCATATCTTGCTTTAACTTCTCTGGACTTCGTATATAGTTAAGTAAAGAGAAAATCAAACAGAGTACGAACTGCAGTAACAGGCCATGAGTACTAAATTATAGTCACGGGGCATTCATTGGAATTGTCACATGTGGCTATCAATTCTATTGGCATAATTCATTTCTTATATGCATAGCTCCTTAAGAACATTATTAAGTTCCTCTGTAGAATTTAATCACATTTTGTTTATTGAGTGCAATGTGAGCCAGAATAGTTATTGTTTCCCAATGTATTATTTTTTCAAAATCCCAATTTAGTTGATAGATGTGCCAACTTTGGTATTCGGGGTATATATATATTTTTCCAAATACGTGCAGTTCAATCATAAGATTTTGCATTTGGATATTTGAGTACTTAATTTGACTACTTTAGAAACTCAATGTGGCATAGTGTGGGTTTTCTTATCTGCTTTTTACTCTCAGCTCACTGTTTTATTGGTTAAATTTTCTCTGAATTATGTTATTTGCCTTCTTATTGATGGCTATTTTGTTGTGGTTTATGTTTTGGTTTTGAATAATTCTTCTGTTTATGCTAAATTGCTTTGATTATTTCCTCATGTGATTTATGTGTGGTTGTAATTTATATAACTTAGTATAATCATTGGACTTGAACTTTTTTTTTTAATTAATATATATATATTTTTCTATATAAAAGTTGTCTATTCACCTAACTTTAATTAACTCGGCATAGTCAGACATGGACAAGAGTTGGATTGCATTAGGTAGCACAGTTGATGGAAGGATAAGTCGAGCATATAATGATGGGATAATATCATTTCTTCGTTTTGCAATGGCGGTTATCGATCAGGATGGTAAAATTTTGTGCCCTTATCGAAAGTGTGTGAATGTTGTTCGTCAAAATTTTCAAATTCATTTGCTGCAACATGGGATTATTCCAACTTACACTATCTAGCATGTGCATGGGGAATGTCGTGAATCAAATGAGGCTTATCATCATAATATACCCGTTGAGGGCAATGAGGTTTTGGGAGGTATTGATGCCTTAGTGGAAGATCGAATAAGAGGGGAATCAACTAATAAAACCCAAGAGGAGGAGGTTCGCACTTTTGATAAATTATTGAATGATGCCAAACGTGAAGTGTACCCAGGTTGCACAAATTACACTTTGTTAAAATTTGTCATCGAGATACTTAACATGAAGGTAACAAACCATTGGAGTAATAAGTCAGTTGACATGATGCTAGAGTTTTTAGCAAAACTTTTACTGAAGGATAATTTGGTTCCAAAGTCAACTTATGAAGCTAAAAAAATACTACGTGAATTGGGTTTGTCATACGAGCCCATTGATGCTTGTGTAAACGATTGTGTGCTTTTTTGGAAGGGGAATGCAACACTAGATAAATGTCCAAATTGTAAGGCTTCTAGATACAAGACAAATCATGATAAAGGTAAGAAGATCTCTCATAAGGTTCTTCGATACTTCCAGTTAACACCGAGATCGAAAAGGTTGTACATGTCGAGGAAGAGAGCCGAGGATATGAAATGGTTCGAGGAAAAACGTTTAGATGACGGTGTATTGAGGCATCCTGCAGATAGTGATGCGTGGAAGGAATTCGATACACAATATCCTGAATTTTCCTTGGAGCCTCGGAATGTGAGGCTAGGGTTGCCTACTGATGGTTTCAACCCTTTCGGAAATATGAATAACTCATATAGTTTGTGGCCTGTCGTACTCATTTCGTACAACTTGCCAACGTGGTTGGCTATGAAGGACCCATTTTTCATGCTGTCATTACTTATTCCTGGTGAATCACAACCAGGAATTGATATTGATGTCTACAAGAGACCTTTAGTGGAAGAATTGAATGAATTATGGAAAAATGGTACATTAACCTTTGATGCCTCGACTGGTGAGACTTTCTGCATGCGTGCAGCTTTGCTGTGGATGATACATGATTGGCCCACATTTGGTGACATTTCTGGATGGAGAACAAAGGGTCATTACTCTTGTTACACTTGCAATGATGAACCATATTTTGTATCTTTAAGAAGTAAGACAGCGTACAGTAACCATCGATGCTACTTGCCTGATGACCACCCAAAAAGGCGAAAGAGTAGAGCATATAATGGCAAGCATGAAAAATGGAAGAGATCTTTGGTGATACCGATAGAAAAGATTGAAGAACAATTGGGCACGTGACGGGTGTCACATATGGAAAACATCCAAGCAACAGAAAAAGACCTCGTCAGAACCCAAATCGGACAAAGGTAAGCATCTTGTATGAGCTACCGTATTGGAAGAAAATGAGGCTTCAACACAACATTGATGTCATGCATGTAGAGAAGAACTTTAGTGAAAATGTTTTTGGAATGATGTTGGGAATTGATGGGAAGAACAAGGATACAGATAAGGCACGAATGGGTTTAGAAGATATGAATATACGGAAAGAATTGTGGCTGACAACAAATCCCGATGGATCATATGTGAAGCCTCGAGCCAGCTTCACACTGACCCCTAAAGAGAGAGAGGGTTTCTTTGAATTCTTGAAATCAGTCAAGTATCCAGATGGGTACGCGGCAAACATTTCGAGATCAGTGAATGCAAAAAATGGTAGGTTAACAGGATTGAAAAGCCACGACTGCCATGTACTTATACAACGGATTCTTCTTATTGGGATGCGTGGTTGCGTAGATAAAGAGATCAGTACAGCACTTTTTGAGTAAGGTAGCTTCTTCCAAGATCTATGCTCAAGGACACTGAAACGAAGTGAAATGGAGAAATTAGAGGAACATATAGTAATCATACTATGTAAGTTTGAAAAGATCTTTCCTCCAGCCTTCTTCGATGTGATGGTTCATTTGGCCACTCACTTGCCACGTGAGACTATTCTCGGAGGACCTGTGCAATATCGGTGGATGTACCTGATTGAAAGGTAATTTCTGAAATGGTACTTTCAAATGAAAGGTATAGATTATGTTGTGTGCCTAACCATACTCCTAATTGGTTATCTCTTCAAGGTTTCTCGGAGCTTTGAAAAAGTTTGTCACCAATCGAGCTCGACCAGAAGGTTCTATTGCAGAGGCTTACATTGTCAAGGAGTGCATTACTTTTTGCTCAATGTATCTTGAAGAGATTGAAACAGTGCATAATCGAGATGCACGAAATGAAGATTATGGAGTCCGTCGTGAAGGTTTGATAATATTCACCGAAACTGCTAGTCCTATTGGCCAAATCAGAAAGCATGTTGAGATGTCACAGGAACTTCGTGATATTGCTCATTGGTTCTTATTATACAATAGCCCTGAGATAGAGAAGTATCTTCAGTACGTGTTTCTTATAATTATATATATATTTTAACAATTTTCATGTTATTTGTCGTTAATAATAGTAGCATTTCACTCATTAACCAAAACTATTTGAGTAGGGAACACAAGAATTTGTTACAAATTACAACTGGACAAGATATAACTCAGATACAACAGAAGGAATTTCCGAAGTGGTTCAAAGAATATGTAAGTCATTTTTAATATTCACAATTGCCCAAACACTATTAGGCTTGTATAAAACACAAACATTACTAACATAATTCAAGTGTTGCACATTGCATGTGGATGTAGATAAATAGATTGAGAGTTGATAAGGCACCAGAAGCAACCGAAGAATTGTGGTCATTAGCGAATGGTCCTAATTTGCTAGTGAAAGAGTACTCAGGTTGTATAATCAATGGTGTAAGATTCCATACGAAGAAATTAGACAATCGTCGTAAGAGTCAAAACAATGGTGTGCTTACCAAAGGGGACTACAAGGGAGAGATGCATGAATTCTACGGTCACTTGTGCAATATTTAGGAATTTGAGTACATGTGTCAAAATAAAGTTGTTTTGTTTCAATGTGAGTGATACAACACCGGTGACACTGGTAGAAGTAGAACAGTACGAATTGACACATATTGCACAAGCATCGATGTCACAAGCCGATGGTATCAATCTGACCCTTTTATCTTGCCTAGTCAAGCTAAACTAGTGTTCTACCTGAGTGACACAAAATGGGGGCAACCTTGGCAAGTCGTGTAACAGGTCCAACATAGAGGTGTGTTTGATGTGCCAGAGGTTGGTGATGGAGAACCGCCAGATCAACCAGAATTTAATGATGCATTCCAACAAGAAAACATTAACTCAGTTGTCCCGATCAACATTGAAGATATTATTCGATTTCATAGGGATGATATTGAAGCTGAGGTTATTCGAAATAAAACAAAGAGAGATGGTAGAGATGACGAAGAAGATGAAGAACTTGGCATACTTGATGATGATATGGATCCTGATATGGAACCTGATATGGATTATGATATGTAGTTTTTGTTTTTTTTAGATTTCTATATGGACATATATTTTTAATGCATTACATGGTTATGCTATATTTTGTTGCGTCTCTTCAAGTAAAATTATGCTTTATATTCTATGTTTTATATTAATTTATGCTTTTTAGTTACCAAAATGGCCAAAGGGGAGAAACAATGGATCAAACCAGGTTTTCTAGCGAAACAGAAGCGAATAGAGTACGAAATGGAAAGATATAAGACAATGACGAAGAATAATAAGAAAATGGATGCTCTACAATTGAAGCGTATAGCAGCTTCTTTGATGGGTTCTACTCAGCCCAATCGTGTTAATCAGAAGGGAAAGAACATTAGGGTAGATGATGATGACTACATACCGTCAGATCATGAGGATGACGCTGATGCTGAGTCCTTTGAAAGTGTTTACGATGAGGTACTATATGTATGGCCATTCATTTTTTTTTATTATGTCACCGATAGCTATATATTTGTTAATGATGCTTTGTTAATACTATCTTTATATTTCCGTATACTTTATTGGATGAATAAGTCATAAAATAAAACTAGAAAATATACATCCTACATACAACAATAAGCATACCAAAACAAACCGTAGGAGTAAGTTAGCTGGAACACAAATGTATAACGAAATAAGACATAATTTGACCATGTTGAAAACACCAGTACTAGGATTAACACATGTGTGCAGCCTGGCCCTCATAATATCAGTAATACATATGCCAAACTGATTGATCACCAACTTCACCACATCATGAACTACCTGCCAGATGGATTCAGCAAGTCTAGGACTGTTGCTGGAACTGGCGCAAGATGCAGCCTGGTCCACTTGACAACCTCCATAACATCAACTTCAGTGTTCAAACTAGGACTATCCAATCGGGAATTCCATAGAGAATGGTCCCTAGCTATAGCCAGATTCTCCAGGTTGCCTCCAGGTTGCCTTTCCCTCAAACTATTTATATCCTCACAAATACTCAACCCACTTTCCATAAGAAGAGGCCAAATTGACAAATTGCAAAGCACACAATTAGGAAAAACCAATTAAAAGATTAGAACTACTGGTAGCTCATAACCGCTCAACCACTCAACTTGCCTACAGGTTTTTGAGTGACAACACCCTTTACCTGACCATTTTAAAAATATTCAAAGCAACCACTTGTTAGGACCAGTCTTGGGAAGGAAAGGAGTGGACTGGATCAGATTTTACAAATATCAACAGTGGCCTTGATGAGTTTCCATATACATATCATTACTTATCCATTTTTATGTATTTATTGTTTGTGCTTTTGTATTATGTTTTTTAGGGCTTACCAATGCAACCAAAATGATTGGCGCAGTCATCTCTTCAACCTTCGCACGAGGCAATTGTTGTTCCAAATGGGGGTTTACATGACAATATGGATACCCAACACTCATAGCCACTTGATGTCGATATGGAGGCACCGAGGGAGGCAGCCCTCCAATCTAGTGTCGGTAAGATACTGAATTTTACTAAGCTAAAGAAATTCTTTGTTTTAATATAATTCTACGATGCAAAAAACTTCAAGCAATTTGTTTTAGAGGGTTTGATTTTTTATTTTTTATTTTTGCTGTAAAAAGTGCTGGGGTATACCCTAGTTTAACTCTTGTAAGTTTTGTTTTGTTCATACATACATACCTATTACCTTTTTGTCAAAATGTCTACTTATTCACTTGTGTTACAGTTAATGATTAACAATTACTTAAATTTTTAAACTGTGAAGACTGTTCAATTTTAAACTAAAATATCATTTCTAGGTTCTTATATAGTTGCTTCTAATGATGTTTTGACATAATTTTGGATGGCTTCTCACATTTGTTTTGACAACCTTTTAAATTTGAATTGTAAATATTTTTCAAGATTGGCTGATTTGAAAAATTTCAGAGACTTCATGGTTGTGCTTTTCCTTTCTCACGTTGTTTTCTCGTTCTCACAGTTATATTTGTTCTTCCGTTTTCTTGTTTCTTTAATCTTTCCTACCCCTATACTTAGCCTTTTTGAGCTTCCAAAACTAAAAATTTGAAAAAGTGAAAACCAAACACCTATACTTTTTCGAAATACAACTTCTTAAGCACTTGAGTTTAAATTTTAAGCTAAATAAATGTAAATGCAAACAAGTAAAAACAAGATTAGTTTTCAAGCATTCCTTTTCCTTTGAACAAAAACAATAAAGAAGGAAAAATTATTGAACACAATAAGGGCATGCCCGACATTGTCATGTGATAGTACTCTTTACCAATTGTTAATTGCCACAGTGGACACACTAATGATTGTATTAGTGTTAGATGCCAAAATTTAGCTAATTATGATTAGTGTTAGTGATAATGTTAAGAACAAGTTTTGATGCCAAATGTTACAAGACTTGTTAACTATGGCGAGGCCACTAACAAATGAGAGAGAGAGAGAGAGAGAGAGAGAGAGAGAGAGAGAGAGAAAAAGAGGGGAATAGGAGAGGAGCACACTTTTTATATTATTTATTTATTTTGTCTATTATATATATATATATAAATATTTATATATCCTTAACACATCCATTGCACCATCATTCACTATCTAAATTAACAAACTCTTAGCACACGTGTTTTGGTCTCACTTTTAATTTTTTGTCATATAACACACAAAGTTAACATCTCTATTGGAGATGCTCTTAGTTTTCAAGCATTCCTAGTTCTTTGAACAAAAACATTGAAGAAGGATAAATTATTGGGTATAGAGAAGGGTATAGCATGACATTGTTATGTGAAAGTACTCGTCACCAATCATTAATTGCCACCTTTCATACTATTAGACAAACCATTAATGTAAATGGGATAAGTGATA